TATCATAGACAAAATACCTTATCTACTTATTCAAAGCTGTTCTCATTCTCACATAACGAAAATTTCATTCTATCATGTCTGAGAGGTGGGATGAGTATAAGAAGACCCACCTGATTCACGACAAACTCTCGAAGTTTGCCATCAGCAGGTCTCGATGCAAGAAGGCTTGCTGCTTTATCCCATATAGAACCAGGAATTTCAACAGGAGCATCTACGAGCGAGTAGAGAAATTCAAGCAGTTCTGGAGTTGATACCGCCGTGACGAAACGATTAACATCTATAGAAGCCAGCTGCTTGGAATATCTCAGCATAGAGGAGAATCTCGTAGCAAAAACTTTACTTCTTTCAGGCAACGGCAGAGAGTTCATACCTAAAAGTACGCGAATTCCAACTGGGAAGGCAACAAACCTGACAGCTTCAGAAAGGTTGTTTATTCGATACCAAACTTAAGAAATTTCCAAAAAGATGATGGTAAGTCATAATTCACTAGTAAAGTTGAAACAGCTGTTTCATAAGATTTTACGAGAGGAAGCACTGCAGCAACATTTAGACCGCGTTTATAGTTTGCGACTGAGTATATTCGGCGATTTGGGAGACTTGATAGACTGCGCAGCGAGGATAGTGTAGGTATCGAACTGACGATTGGAGACACGCCGAGTCGCTTGAAAAGTGGATCGCCGATTCTCCCAAATAGCCAAATCGATACCTACATGTTCCTATTCGCGCAATCTCTCGATTCGCTGACTCTCCCAAATCGCCGAATCTCCTCAGTTAAAGCAGCCTTACTGATCTACTTTCCGAATGACTGGATTGAATCAAGGAAAACAACTCACAGTTGATCACTGTACTTGTTATGTTTGCTTTCTTTCCAAAGTCCCTCTCGTTCGCAACTAAGTTAAGCACATCAAGAGCATTAAAGAACATGGTGCACTGCGTCTCGTTAGCACGCACAATGGCTCCCGAGATCCATTCACAGACTTTCGCGGGTAACTCTTCCCATTCTGTAAAAGTGCTGTTATCCTAGAGCTTCCACAGAGTAAAGCACCTAGGAGAAGGCGAGAGGCGCATGAAAAAAGGCTCGTTGAGTACCTACATATTCAGTGAAACACAGCGAATATTCTCGCAAAGGCAGGAAAGCAGTGGCGCTACATAAGTCCACTCAATTGATTAAAAAATCGGAAAAAGCGAAAA